GTGTGTGTGTGTGTGTGTGTGTGTGTGTGTGTGTGTACTTGTTTTTACTACAGAGTGAGGACCATTTGAGCCATAGTTACTATCAAAGTGAGGTCTTTGATGTAAAGTGAGGACCTTTTCAATGTCCTACCTTTGTTTGCAGCTCTGCTGTGCTTCAGTTAGGTTTAGAGGTTTGGTGTGAATGAAGATTTGGTTCAGGTTAGAGTTAACTATAGACCAGTAATGGTTAGTTTTAGGAAAAATGTCTGGGTTAGGTATAAATACAGTTACAAAAATGAATGGAAGTCTTAAAAAACTGCTAACTAGTGCCTAACCTCCTTTTTACCAAACACACACCCTGTGCACGCTTACTGTACGTAACATGTATATATTATTTGTRTATAATCCACATATTATAATGGTTATGTCTTATGCTCTTGTGCTTCCATCACTGTTCATATTGTATGTACTGTATGTGTATTGGAGGGATATCTCAAGCCGGAAACAAATTCCTTGTGTGTGTCAACATACTTGGCTAATAAAGCTGATTCTGGAAGTCAATACAATGTCCTCAGTTTGATGCAAATACAAGGATGGGTGTGTGTGTGTCCTGCATTATGAATGGTTCAGCATGTGTGGCTACGATGGCTGCTGGGTTTGAAACACAAGAGACATAAATAATGCAGCCACATGTGCAGCGCTCGTATGGACTCTGAAGCCGAAGTTATCAATGGTTTCAGCTTCATGAAGAGCTGCACACCTCGACTCCAGAGCACTAAAATTTACCTCCATTCCTTACGTTCGGCTTTTCCCCCTCCCCCACTGCCTCCATCTCTGGAGAGGTCCGTCTCAGTCAGGCTACACCCCTTCTACTTCCTCTTTTCTCCTCCACCTCCTTTTCGAGGTAAAGGATGGGGGAGGGTTTAACTCTACAACTGAAGCAAAAAGTATGTGTGTGACACAAAAGACCAATGTGCGTCTCCCMCCAACAGCGTGCTTTTAGCAGTACAGTTAGCACCTAAGCTTGTCCAACTGTGCATGTGTGCGTGTGTGTGTGAAAGGAGGGGTGGGGGTGAGGAGACACACAGTGAACACGACGGAGCTGATGCCAGAAGAGCAGATGCTTCTCTTCTTTGTGCTCTCCATGCATGCTGACACTCACGGGAAGAGCTGTGACACCGTTTTCCCACTCAAAACACACACACACACACACACACACACACACACACACACACACACACACACACACACACACACACA